CTAACATGGCTCTTGACACAGGATAAGCCCCTACTCCATATCAATAGAAGTAGCATTCAACTCCTAGTGGCTTTCACAAACTCAATTGTCATTGGCTACTCTTACTTTTTAAAATTTTTTTCAGTGGTCCTGGGGATGGAAGCCAGGTCCTCGCCCACGTGAAGCAAGTGCTGTACCACTGAACTACAGACCCAACCTGGGTACTGTTAGCTTCCATATATAAATATATATATAAAGCCAATATTCGTATGCTTTTAAGCACCTAAAAACTGTTGCATGTGGACTGGAGGCGTGGCTCAAGTGGTGAAGTGTGTTCTTTGCAAGTGTGAAGTCCTGAGTTCCAAGCCCCTTCCGCACCCCAACCTCAGGCCATAAAGCAATACTCTTCTCAAAAATGGCCAGTGCAACAAGGACTGGCAGAATGGCTCAAGTGGTAGAGCGCCTGCCTAGCAAGCACAAGACCCTGAGGTCAAACCCCAGTACCTCATAAAAAGAAAAAAATGCAATTGTGACCCTTCCAAAGATGACAGTATTACGCAGCTGTTGCAAAGAATCCAGTCGGTCACCATGTACTGATAGAAAATAATTTCTAAGGGACATTCAGTACTCAACCACAGCAAGAGAGGGCGATTTATTTGTGAGTACAGTCACAAACCACATAACCGTGTTTCAGTCAGTGACAGACCAAATATGTCATGGTGGGCCCTTAAGATTATGTCACCCAGTGACATGTCGCCCAACCGCTTGTACAAGCAGTGCTATGATGCTGACACAACGATGAGACAGCCTTACTCTATATCTCTCAGAATGGATCCTTGTTATTCATCAGTGTACAACTGTAGATGAAATATTGCTGGAAACAAGACATAAGAAATCAGAAACAGGAGAACTCTGTAATTAGGACGCAGGGAGAAGAGGAGAGCTTCTAACACATGGTCTTTGGGCACGTGTGTGCGTGTGCATGCGTGTGCGTGTGTGTGCATGTGTGAGTGTGTGTTTGGGGATCAGACCCAGGACTTTGTGAATATTAGGTAAGTGCTCTACCACTGAGCTATGTCCCCTATCGAGTCTCTGGGAAATCTGAATGCCATTCTAGTTTCAGGTATAGGTATAGGTTCAAAATAAATATTTTTTGTATACAAGTTGAAGAGGAGGCTTATAGCAAAGGGTATCTTTAAATTGGACAGATATATGTCCTCTGGCTAGAGGCAAGAGAGGGCTTAGAAGGCTGGGATGGAAGGATGGGTTCAGGTTCTCTGCTCAGCCCAGCTCACCCTGAGACCTGATTCTCTACAGCAACAGGCAGAGGTGGCCCTCGTGTCCCAGACCCAGGAAGAGAAGCTGGCTGCCACCCTCAGGATAGAGTTACACAACACTTCGTGCCAAGTCCAGAGCCTCCAGGCTGAGACAGAATCCTTACAGGCTCTGGTGAGTGGACCAACAGGGGCCCTGGCATCTCTTGTACCAATTTTAATGCTCAACTCAAATTCTAGCCATTTACGAGTCATAGTTTGCAAAGGACTCTCATTCCACAGGATCTGATTTGGGGACCTGAAATGTCTGCAGACTCCCAAGGATCATCAGACCATGAATCATAACACATGTAATACAACAAGTGTCCTACCAAAATATGCCTCGTGGGGCCCTTGCTGGACATGTTGGCGTCTAGCCACCCCTTCCGCAGCCCTGCTTCTCTAAAGGACTGCCCTCAGCCAAACAGAAGACTTCTGACCCAGGAGCTCAGGCCAACCCCAGCCCCCCCCCGCCCCCCCAGTGCTCAGACAGTAACTGGTGGGTAGGGAGGTTGAAAGTCCAGCCCACCTGCTTTCAAGGTAGAACCAGGTCTGGAGGCCAATTCACACTTCAGAGTTCACCATGGGATGGGGCTGCAGCCAGTTTCCTGCTAAATCCCCTGCCCTGTCCTGTGTTGCCTTCCTGGATCCTGAAAACGTCCCTTTGATCGTGTGTAAATTCCAGCATCCATGTCTCAAGTTCTGCTTCAGGACAGCCTGACTGAACGTACCCAGTGAACTCCTCTGACCCACTGTGGTCTGTGGGAGGTCTCCTGCAATTAATTAATTAAAGTCATTAGAGTCATCCCTCCATGTCCATAGGTTCCTTATCTGTGGAATTCAACCACCTCGGATTGAAAATATTCTGTTCTGAACATGTGCAAGCTTTTCTTTCTTGTCATTATTCCCTAAATAGCTATTTATATGACATTTACGTTGTATTGGGTAGAAGTAACCTAGAGATAATTTAAAGTGAGACACAGGAGAATTGCATGGGTTATATAATACTATACCATTTTCTTTTTCACTTTTTGGAAGAAATGGAGTTTGAACTCGGAGCCTCAAGCTTCCTAGGAAGGTACTCTACCACTTGGTCCACACTGCTGCCCCTTCCGGCTTTAGTTATTTTTTGGACTGTCTCAAAGTCCAGAGCTAGCCTTGAACTGTGATCCTTCATACCTGTACTTCCCTCATAGCTGGGGTTACAGATGTGTGCCACTATATCAGGTTTGTTGGTTGAGATGGGATCTTTCTAACTTTTTGCCCATACTGATCTTGAACCAGGATCCTCCTAATCTGTTTTTAGAGTAGCTGGGATTATAGGCACAAGCTGCTATACCTGGCCCAAGATGACTGTATTAATGTAGTCATGTACCCTCTGATCTCTGGGATGGTCTATTAGGATGTCAACCACAGCTCCTTCCAGGTGCCCCTTGTAGGGAGTCACTTGTACTGTTCTAATTCCATGTCAGAGTTATGAGAGGGTTGGTCTGGTCTGTGTAACCCTGGTACAACTAAGGAGTCTGGAGTCCAAGGAAGTCAATGGTAGGAACTAGGTCACTGCAGGAGGGTGGGAGGGGATGATCCGAGAGCTCCTCCACTTATCGCTTATGCAAACAGGCAAATCCCTGAACCACATTTTTCTCCTCTACAAAATGGCAGTGGTAGTCATGTCCCACCTCATTTCTCAATGTTTCCTTGAGAATCCAATGACAGAATGCATGTAAGCATGTTCTTCTTACTCTCCACATCACTTTGAAGAACTCACTATTGTTCCCAGAACTATACCAAGTGCTTTGGGGACATAAGACTAATCAGACATGGTCCCTGCCCTCAAGGACTCAATGTGACCTCAGTGGAGGAGCCTATATAACCATAGGAACCAGAGAACTCTGCATGCCAAGGGGGTGGCTGGTGGGGAGACCACCCTACTGTGAGAGTCAGGAAGTAGACTTCGTGGTGGTATGAAGAAGACAAGTAGAGACGGGCAAAGTTGGGGCAGGGGTTGGATGGGCTCCACTTACCACAAAGTCTACACGTGACCCTACTCTTCTAGACTCAACGGTCTGATGGGATTGGGGATTGGTGCTCAGACCACAATCTTACACCCTGGCTCTTTTACTCACAAGCTGTGTGACCCCTCTCAGCTTCCATTTCCTCTCTATTTTGGTTTTCCTATCTGCCTGCCATTTAGTGACTTAGGACAACAGTGAGTCTGTTAGTCTCCCCATTCTATGATTTAGACAGAGTTCAGCAGGAATAATTCTTCTCTGTCCTGTGTGCAAGCTGCTGGGGCTGAGACACCCAAGAATGGCTTCCTCAACTCACAGATGTGGGGCCTCAGTCGTGCATCTGTTTCTCTCTCCATGTGACCTCTCCTCCGTGTGGCTAACTGAGATTCCCTGGTATCATGGCGGTCTTACAGTAGCTAGACATCTGACATAGCATGTGACCGCCCTTAGAGCAACCAGGCCTCTTAACACCTGGGCTTTCAAAACCTTGAATGTCTCTTATATCTCATTCTCTCAGTCAAAGCCATCACATCACCAGCCAGATTCAACAGCAGGGGATGTGAACTTCCCGTCTTGATGGAACAGTAGCAAGGTCACATTGAGGAGGAGCACGTGGGAGGGTGAGCATTGTTGCAGCTGTCTTTGGAAATGTGATCTTCCATAAGATCAGAATAGAATTTACCTCATAAAGTCACTGGGATGATTAATTAAATAACGCATGCCAAGCCCTTAGCACTGTGCCTGGCACAGAGTGAGCAGTGAATAAATGGCATCTGTCATTAGTTATCCTATAAAACTATAATCACTAGTTCAGTAACCCCAAGTTGGCATCATTAGCCACCTAGTCACCTCATTTAAACTCCATGGCCCTAACTATGGGGAAAAATGGCAAAAGATTCAAATATCTAAACAGAAGGCTTCAGAGTAGTGGCATTCTGACTGTGGTCACAACCAGAGACAAACTAGCTCTGTCCCCTGCATGTTCCAGAAAATCAGTGTTCATTCCTGGGCCTTCCAGCCAAGGTGTGAGGCACAGACTGAGCAAGGATAAGTGTAAACCCTGTCCGGTTCATCCAGCCATCCTGTCACCCTCAGTCAGAGCAACCTGTGCACCACAGGCCCCACAGCTCAGATGAACCTCAGACAGCCAAGCTGGCTAAACTCCCAGTCCGCTTTGCATTAAGGCACTGTTTGTCCTAGGAGCCAGTCACCAGCAATGGTGCTTGAAGCCAAATGAACTCTGTGTTCGGTCATAAAAGAATTTAAGCTCAGAAGTCACAAAAGGTCACTAAATTGCTTTCTGAAGGGTTTAGCAAACTCAAGAAAGTTCCTGCAAATCTCCAGAGTCCTAGGGAGTGAGTGCGCCTCTGTGATCTCAAGGTGTTGCTGGTGCCATTCGTATCAGTAGGGTTGCAAGAGCTACAGCAGTAGCCTGCTCACAGGCACTCAGGCTCTTTTAAGTCTCTGGAGAAGCAGGCATCCTTTGTTTTGATCAGATTGTCAGGGACGTAGGTGAAGAAGCAGGACTTGGACTCTAGAGTGGAATGGAAGACACATAGGATTTCTGATCCAGGTTCCCATGAATGCCCCATTGGGCAGTGCCCCCCAAGTCACCAAGCAAAAACCTCAGGCCACATGGAGAACTCACCTACAACATAGAGCTAAAACTGGAGACAGATATCTAACCATAGTTCTGTGAAGGGCTTTTCCTACGTCAACAACTACTCACAAACAAAGCAATTTGCATAAACAAAAGAATAAAACCCAAGGAGGCTGGAACAAATGATTCTCAAAATCCAGGTCATTTTTGTATTCTCACTGCTATAAGGGGTTCTCAGATCCCACCACACAAATAATAACTCTGCACCAGAGACAGATCTAGCTTTATTTTCTAGTTCACATATTGCCTCCTAAAACACACCTAGACTAGGAATTCTGACTCAACATTCTCATATCCCATGGAATTAAGAAGACTTAAACTAGATTCTATGATGACTTTGCTTAACAGCAGCCATGACTCAAGATGGTGCCATGACCAAGAATCTTCCATTTCAGCCACAGTGCTCAAAGGGCTATAAAAAAAAATCTCTTCTGGAGGACAGGTTTCAGAAACTTGTTTAATCAAGATTTGATCCAATCCTATCCAATTAAGAAAAATATCTATTTTATGTTTTCATGTGTTATATTAAAAGCCAAGTACTAAATTATAGGTCCTCCATAATTAAACTATTTTTAAAATGTTAAAACATGTACAGCCAGATTTTCAAAAGTGTTTATTGAGCAATCCTAGGTTTCAGGACATAATATATGGGAAGTTGAGAAGAAAGGGAGTTCCATTTGAATGAAGAAACACAGAAGTAGAGCAATAAATGGACCCTAACACAAGTACCTTCGTCCTGACCAACCTACATATACGAAGCACCTATTCTATACTTTCCTATGCACAAAGGTTATCAAGGCTTGTTTTTTCCAAGTCTCACCATCTAGTGATAAGCTCAAGGACATGCATGTGCTTTCAGAACCTGAAAAACACAGAGTCCATAACCCAGCTTGGTGACAGTAAGGGCAGAGGAGTGTCATAGAAAGTTTCCTGGGGAAAGTGGCCACTGAACTTGGACTTGGGGATGAGTAGGTATGGATGCTGGAATGGATGGAGAAGGATATTGTAGGTATAAGAAATAGCACGAGCCCAATAAACTCCATGCCTGGGAGTCCAACTCTGCTCTATCTGGGAGAGGTGGGGGAGTCAAGATGGAAAGACACACAGCCTGTGATGTGTGTCATGTTAGGGGTCCTGGGAATCTACCTATGAGGTTTAAGCAGAGAAGACACAAGTCCACATTTGGACTTTGGCCAAGGCACTGTGGTTGCTGCGTGGGAAATGTGGGAAGGGCAGGAACTAGAAGCAGGGGATGAGCTAAAAAGCCACTGAGCCGATCCCAGATGAGAGATGGTAAGTGTCTGTGGACCCCATGGTATCTGGAGAAGAGAGGAGGGCCACAAATGTGAAAACTTCACAGGAGACACAGGAGGCAGGGTTCAGAAGTCACAAGAGGGGTGGTGACTGTCTTTGGAAGAGAAGAAAGATCAATGACTGGAGTGAGCTTTCTCTTGCTCCTGTTACTTCTGAATCTAACCGGGCCTAACTGGGGGTGATGGGACATGCAGAAAGGACACAGGATAGACAGACAGACAGACAGAAAGTTGGGAGCAGGTGTGTTGGGCACTCAGGTGGAGACACACAATGGCCTCATTGCTTCTTATCTCTGTTAATCTCTTCTCTTTACTCTGCTTCTGTTCTCCATCTTTTCTTTAAGGCCTTACTCCTTTACAGCTCTTTAAAACCTTGCTTCTAAAAGTCTTCTTTTCTATTCTTTAAAGTCTCTTTCCTTAGACTCACTCTGTCCCATGTTTTCCCTTAAGCTTAGCTTTTCTAAAGCCAATGTATAAAGTTCTCAGCACAGACTTGCACTGTCCCATGTTCTCTCTTTAGTTTTAGCAATTCCCCTTTAGCAATTCTTTTCCCTTCAGCACTATCCCTTCAGCCAAACCCCCCTCCTCCTCAAAAAGCCTTCCCCATCCAAAAGCCCCTCTTCATCCAAAAAGCCTTGCAGCGTCCTTCAGCAAGTCTTTTATATCCAGTGGTAAACAAGGAGATGGAGCACAGTTCTTGGGGAGGAGCATCACATTGTAACAAAAGAAACCTGCATTCCTGTTTCTCTGAACATAAACAATTCAGGAAAAGCAGCTGAGCTGCATCTCGCCTTCTCGCTCTTTTCTGTGGCTGGGGCTGTGCCAAATCTCAGCCTACAGATTATTTGACATAAACATTTTAGGAAAAGCACCTGCTCTGCAACTTACCCTAGCCTTATTCTGTGGTGGAGGCTGTGCCGAACTCAGCCTACAGAACACTGAGTACAACTGTGCTTCTACTCCGCTTCCCACAAAGAATACATCTTTCCCCAGTGTGTAGCTCCCCACATTCCCCAGCTAAAGCACAGAAGAGAAGCCAACAGCTCCATTTTAATCTGAGTATATATTTCCAGTAAGACTTCAGGAGCAGGTCCAGAGCTGGCAGAGGGCTGGGATGAACACTCCAATGCAGGGCTGATCAGTCTAGAGAGGACCATTAAAGTCATGAGCAAGTGGACATCAGCTGATCAGACCCAAGATGCTAGTGGGAGGGGAACAGGTGTGGATGGAGCAGTGGGAAATTCACAGGGAAGGCAGAGGAAGAGGACCCGGCCAAGGTGTGCTATTAAAGAAAAGTGCTAAGTGTGTAAAGGTCACAGACACCCATTGCAACTCCCCTTGTTCCATTCCCTCTCTTCTTTCCCCCTTCTCTTTGCTCCTTTCCTCCCCACCATCCTCGTATACAATTGAATCAGACTAAACCAGAGCCTGACCTCCTGAGGATTCATTTTTCCACAGAGCCCCGTGAGAGCAAACCCCCTGTCGGTCTCCACAACTGGCAAGGTCATTGTCCTGGAGGAATGGGCAGACCAGGTCAAGGCCAAGGTCAATCTTCCTGCTGTTCTGTCTGCTCTTTTGCAGAAGCGAGGCCTAGAGAACACCTTGCACGACGCCAAGCACTGGCATGACATGGAGCTGCAGAACCTGGGCGCCGTGGTGGGCCGACTGGAGGCTGAGCTGCGCGAAGTCCGTGCAGAGGCTGAGCAGCAGCTACGGGAGCGGGCACACCTGCTGGCACGCAAGGGCCAGCTGCACAAGGATGTGGCAACTGTCCATGCCCTGCTGGACCGCGAGGAGAGCTGGTAGGCTCCACAACTAAGGCCTACTCGTGGGTTTAAAATGGCTCATGTAATTAAGATTGAAAGATGCTGGCGGAGTAGCTCAGTGGTAGATAGAGCCCTTGCCTAGCATACACAAAGGCCCTGGGTTCAAAACCCAGACTACAAATA